TCGATAGCGTTTGATTGGTCGATAGACAGTAAAATGCAATGCTGATTGGTCAAAATTCGTCTTCTCCATGCCCAATGCGTCAACTTTTCTGATTCATGGTCGTGGCCATCTTGAAAGTACGAGGGCAAATGCTTAGAAAAAAACTATCTAGAGGGCAGCGTCATTATATTATTTTTTGTATATACGTAGCATGTTTCAACTGTCAAATTTTTAGCAGAATTTACGTGGTTTCATTTCTGTAGCCTATTAAAGCGAAGAACCTTTGTATTTTTTGCAAAATGGAAAAAAAAACGAGTTTCATACAGTGATCAAACATCTACATATGAAAGGTTTAACGCCGAAAGAAATCAAAACCGAGTTGGATAATGTTCATAGCACATCTGCACCAGCGTTTGCGACTGTATACAATTGGGTGAATGAATTTAAACGTGGTCGTACATCCACATGTGATGCACCTCGTTCGGGACGTCGAATTGAGGTTACTACGCTAGAAATCATCGATAAAATCCACGATATTGTTTTGACTGATCGACGAGTGAAAGTGCGCGAGCCTGTTGAGGCCACAGGCATATCACATGGCATAGTGATTTCAATTTTGCACGAACAATTGGGTATGAAAAAACTATCGGCAAGATGCCGCGTTTGCTCACTGTGGACCATAGGCGCGATCGTGTGACGATTTCAAAACAATGCTTGGAGATGTTTCAACATAATCCAGATGAATTTTTGCGTCGATTTATTACTGTGGACGAAATATAGATCTATTACTTCACACCCGAGACGAAGGAACAGTCAAAACATGGACTTCACCAAGCGAACCAGCTCCGAAGAAAGCGAAGACCATGAAGTCGGCCGAAAAGGTGATGGCCACAGTTTTTTTTGGGATGCACGCGCAAATATAATTCGTAAATATAATATCGATTACCTTCCGTCGATTAATGGCGATTATTACGCACCCTTATTGGACCGTTTCAACAAATTTAACATTTTAAAGAAAAAATGTCCCCATTTGACGAAGAAGAAAGTGCTCTTCCATCAATATTAACAGCATTGAGAAGAAACAGATTTTAAAATTTAAACAGTATTAACTAATATCGCTCTGATTACATTATATAACATTAACAATAAATTTCAAAGAAATACATTATTAAATCGCTATTGTAGTAATCAACGGATGTCTTAAAGTGATCGAAATGGAAGTGACCAAAAGCATATTTTGGAATTTTTTGTAATCAAAATAACGACAATTAAAATGACTATAAATTTTAGTCTAGAAATATATACTAGTAAAATCTAGTATATATTACTAGTAAAAATTAAACGTAATTAAAAAGTAATATATACTAGTAAAAATTAGTGTAAAAATAATTGTGTACTATTTAATGGAACATTGTAAAAAATAAACAGTTATATTAAAATTAAAACAATCTGCATATTTTAAAGAAACATAAAAAGATCATAAAAATAAAAAGTACCTGGAGAACTGATTGTAATCCATCGCAAAATTTCTTTATATCTAATTATTCGAAAACGGCGTCTTGAGTTATCTCGCTAAAAGGAACTCAATTTTTAGCTTTAGATGAGAGAAATTTACTCAGGAAATTCTACATTGAAAATGACTGTTCTGACAATAGAGAATAAGATGTTAGGTAGGAAAAGTATGAAAAGAGGAGGTAAAAGACGTTAGGAAGGGGACAGCGATTGTAGTATGGGAAGAGATACATGTCGGATAAAATCTTGAGATTGTCTCTTTACATGTATTATTTCTGATATTAATCTTTTATCGTAAGATGGTTCTGTATCCAAAATTTTAACCGCCTTTCAATTAAAATTGTGATTAAAATTCATACGATTGTTCGAAATAACTGTGATGGAGATTCCGTTTTTTTATTAATAATAAAAGAGGGCTCATGGGATGTCGTTTGTAAACGTCTCTTTGACCGACAAAATTTACCTCGCAATCAAAGCAAGAAATTTTATACCCCACATCTAAAGGATTACAAGGCGGTCGTCTTTACCTACTTTTATGAACTTATTTAACGTTTGGAATATTCTATTTGTTATTTAATATTATAGCATCAAGACCTTGCTTAGCCCCTCTATTTTCTTATTAATTTAATTTTTAAAAATTATTCTAGCCTTTTTCTTATATAAT